CATTTGGAGCATCCGGACATTCCCAACTGAAAATTATTTCGCGAAAATATATGGACTTGAAACAGCTGATGCTGGTTATCACAGTGAATATTATCTTTGAAGAGGAAATGAGTAGAGTGGCTAATTTTGACAACCCCGTAATCCTGCATCTAAAGGTCGTAAAAATTCTTACAAAACACAAATTATTTATAATGAAGGCTTACGTTTTATGTTCATCGGAACCACAATTACTACATCGTGCACCACTTGCTAAATCCTCAGGTCGTAGAGTACCATTCAGAAGTGCAAGCTCTCTCAGCTGCAGCTTACGTAATTCATTCTGACCATCAGGTATCATCAGTGCTTCATTTATAATTGATGTTATCTAAAAAAAAAATTCACAAATTCACAAATGATCGTAGTACTTCGTTACAATAAAACATCGGAGTTTAAATTTAAAATTATTATTAACAATAAATACTACATGTTAATACGACAAATTTACATGAAAAAAAAAAATGAAAAAGCAACATCTATCACAAAGGTACACAAAATGGTGGAAATGTCGCTTTCTTAAACTTTAATGTTTTCATATGAATAAATTTGGTTTTATCTGTAATCACGCAAAATGTGGAATGTGAAATGTGAAATATGAAATGTATATTGAATACTCTTAAGATTGATGAAGGAACAGAAACAGATAATCATAAAACTCTGCCTGAAAATATCAAGAATATCAACGGGAAACAATTTTTAACCCTTATGATTTTTTTCGTGTTATATTTTCGCACTCTAACGACCAAATTTTCATTGAAAGGAATAATATGCACAAAATTAGAAATTTCTTACTTTTTCACAAGCCTTTTTTATAACCGTATAATCGGTGCCTGTCACATAAGCATGAAGGGGTTCATTTTCACCAGGCATTGGTCCTTCACGACGTCCCAATTTGCCTTCCTTTACTGAGCCTTTACCACGAATTATAATTTTGGCACCTGTCTGGAATATTCAAAAAAGGAATCCGACATTTCTCACAGGTAGCAAAGCACTTTCCCAGAGTTCTCAGGGCATTTTCAAGGGGATCAGTCAGGTAGAGCGGCTACTAATATGAAAAAGGATCTAAGAGAAGCTGATTGAAGCCAACAAAAATCATGTAGTAGGTCAATTAAGCCTAATAATTTATGATTTGCGTGAAATGAATAAAAAACCTCCGCTTCCAGAGCCTTCAGAGTATTTCCACGTGGACCAATCAGTAATCCAACAAAATTAATTTCGGGATGATTTTCTTGTGGTATCCAAACCTTGTCATGCAACCGTATAGTTGGTGCTCTAGAAGATAATAGAAGATAATGAATCAATTTCGGAGTAATTTTCCGTGTTATCAGAAAAGTTTGCTAACTTCTTCTTTAACATGTTGCACAATACACCGATCATTATTACGTTCCACCAGATAATTTTATTATTTCGTTTGGTAATAATCATCCTTATTCATTCGTAACAGAATTGAAAAAAATCAAAATATTCATAACCATTCAAATTTACCCTTTGAACCGAAATCATACAGTGAATGTGTAAAGTATGCAAAAAAATCAACAGCCACCTGTAATCCGCTGGTGGCTTGAAATTTGGATTTAATTTCAACAGTGCTTGGATTTTCTCGTGCCGCAATTGCTCCAATTCTTGTCTTTTTCGTATTTCACGGGTATTCAGCCGTTTACCGCTGGCATCATAAATTGGTTCCGGTGAAGGACTTCTGCAAAATTGATTTGATATAGGCTAATTGTAACCACAAATGACAAAAGCTGAAAATTTTATTATTATTATCTTATTTGAGCTGTTGAATTTCCCCGGCAGCAATTTTCCGCTCACGAAAAGCAGGCGCTAAAAGGCTAAAAAAAGAGATTTGATTAGGATTAAGATTAGTAGTCTTTGCGAAGATGAGAGAATCATCCTGAAAACAATTTTTTAGATTTCAGGCGCGTGGAGGCGACGGATAGCGTATTTCAAAAGTTAGATCATCAACATGGCTAACAAAAATTATTCGTCTAAATATACTTCTAATTCCTCTTATTTCTTCGACTAAAAAATCACTAAAAAAAATGAAAGCTTAGAAAAGTAACGTTCCGAAAATTTATCAACTTTCCTTCTTTAAAGAATTTCTACGCTAAATAGCTCTAAAACGGGCGAGGGACTAATTGTAACTTAAAGTAATAGAAATGATTAAACGATTAATTAGCAGTCAAAAGTCCTATAATTCTTAGGCCCTTCGAGTAGGGAGTGACACTAATCACCAAAAAGCTTGCAGCACTGAATGAATCAAAAGGCATAAATAGTCCTACTGAACCTACTTAGCCCACGGATGCGAAGAAAGAACTTAAAATTCATTAAATTGAAAAATTTTGAATAAAACTTGTGGTATGCATCATCTTGATGAGTGACGCTGACAGATACAGGCATGGAGGAAGGCGTCCATCAACATCATAAATGTTCAGCTAGGCTAGAAATGTGTTAAATTGTTGATTGTCAACAAAGCAGCAATAAACGTTATCGTTTATTGATTGATGAACCTTAAAGCTGGATCCGGATTGCCCATGAAATCGCCAAGACGTAATTTTCGCGTTGCATCTTCCACTTCCAATTGAACTGAAATAGGTGGTTACGGGGCCACCCTCCCCCGTTTATTAGTTCACAACAAACATTAACAGTTGAAACAACCGATCTGGCTCAAAATTTAAAATTCAAAATTTTAAATGAAATTGAAAGAAAAGTATGAAAAGAAAAAGTAAAGCAAAGAATGGCGCAATATTATGCTTTTGATGTACATGAGTTCGTCTTTAGTGGAGATCTTCCATTATGATCTCCCAGATAATCTGCGTTCCAGAACACGACTCCAGTGCCCTGGAACGTGCATTGTAGCATCCTTAGTAATAGAATAAGACTTGCACGTCCAAATAATACCATATTTTTCTACCAGATCCACAGCGACAATAAAATTCATAACAAATTAAAACAACAAAATATAAAAACATTACGAACCTGATCAATCGACACAAACTCTTGTATAATGAAATATTTCAAAGACTTTTAAAACTAATTTTAATACACAATGCAAGGAACCATAACAAGAATTATAAATCCTTACGCAAATAAGCTTGTCGTTGATCATCGCTAAGATTTGACGGTAATATCGTTGGCATTCCCGGTACAAAAGACTTGTTGGTACTCCAACGCGATTTACGAGGTTTCTTTTCAAGTTGACCGGTTTCATTTGCAGCACCTGCTCCATCATCTTCAGTTTTCAATTTGTCAACTGCAAATATTTCGATTATACAGAAAAGCAGGATTTCTGTTTGTAAATGCTGTTTGATAATAAAAGAAGCTGTCTCATAACTGTTGTTCCCACTTACCAACTTCAGGACGTGCCAAGATTGGAAGTACACCCTGAGCAGTTTTTAATTTTGTGGAACCAGCAGCATTAGCCTGCAAAAACAACTTCTGAACAAGCAAAATGCAGCATGCATTTCATTCTGTAGCTTATAAATAACATCATGAAGTATGACAAGATCTCTAATGATGCGATGTACTGAAAGATAAATAATTGACATAAACACACATATAAATCACTCGATATCGAAGTTGCCATGTAAAAAAAAATAGAACCATTATCAAAATTTGTTCGCCGCTTAATCTTATAAAGCAAAAAATTGTTGTAAAGACCATGAATAACTTCTAAATGCATACGTGAAAGCTCACATTAGCTTGACTTTCTTGACCTTCATTTTGTTCTTCAGGTCCTTTTGGTGGAGATCCTGTGCGATCTGAAATTCAGTCCTAATTTTCATCACTGAATATAGTTTTATCTTGCAGTTTCTAATAATAGATTACTCAGCCTACCTCTACGTCTTCTGTGTTTGCTTCTACTCCGACTTCGTCTACTGTGACTTCCGCTTCTTCTACTTCGACTACGACTTCTTCGGTGACTGCGACTTTGACTTTTTCTGCTACGACTACGGCTGCGTCTACTGTGGCTACGCTTTCGTGAATGGCGTCGATCGCGAGAACGCGAACGACGTTTGCTGTGGTTCCGTGAGCGTGATCGCCTACGCTTATGTCGAGAACGAGATCGTGAACGAGAGGAACGCTGTTTTGGCGACAGATATTCCGGAATTGCTGGGGCGTAGGACTCTAGAATGAATAATATATTGTGCACAAATTGAAATAAGAACTTACTTCAATTTGTTTTTTTAATACACAGTTTTTACTACTTGGACTTACTACTTGTTCTGAAAGATTACTACTTGGTCTGGAACACAATTTCTCCATAAAAAGACATCCCGATTTTACATGGTAGCAGCAGTACGCTGCTGGAAAAATACCGTAACAAAGAATAAAAATGAAGAAAGCGATGAAAAAGTGCAAGAAATATTCCCAGCAAACACACCCGTATAAAATGGTGCAGCCATAGAGAAATATCTATTTGGTTAAAATCCGAACCCCACATCTTAATCACGATATTAAAGAACCTGGAACGTTTCCGTTGCTGCCCTCTTCTGCGTTCTCCATTGTTTCAACAGTCGGTTCACTAACGGCAGCTGCAGCAACCGCTGCCGCGCCAAATTTTCGCACGAATGGCATCGGTTCCGTATTACCACCGGTTTTGTCACGTGATCGCGACATATCCTTTTTTTTTCTGATAGTATTAAAAATAGAACAATGACTACATATTACGGGAAAGATTACAGCACCGTTACAACTTGCACAATTTCAACATGAACATAAAAATGTCCATTCGAAAACGAAAATTAATCTTCTGAGGAACGTCAAGTTCCTAGACATATTTTAGTCTGCCAACAGCATTTCAAAAAATGATACTGATAGAAAAACCACATGCGCTATTAATTTCCACTTAGTTATTCCGTGTATCCCATGGTTATTAGAAGCACATTTATAAACAGGTATTACCAATTTTTAATGGTTAGAAACCTTATTAAAGAAGGAAAACCAGTCTTCTAATTTTCATTTATTTATTCTGCCATAACTTCGACGGCTATGTAACAGAAATAGTAAACTGTTTATAATTTGCATGCATAAACACGAACAACACAACGAAAAACAATGCTTTAAGACGATCGAGAGTACAAATCTTCCACAGCTTCCATTCTGCTTTTCGTTCCCTGTTTTAGCTCACCACATTCCACAATTGTCACCTGAAAGGCTACAACGCATACAAGCATTGCTACAGTTTTCGACATGAAATTAAACCTTCTAGCGGTCTGCGAAGTCCACTATGATATACTGAAACGTGAAATGAACGAATGATTATCCGTCAAATTGAAATCGAAGCCAGCGAAAGGATGCTCAAAGTCTACGTATAAATAATAACCGTATAATCTGTGAATTAGCAGAAACACAGATATAAGCACTTTATAAAAGGACTTTTAACATCGTATTAAATAGTCGTCACATAAATAAAATATTAAGCAAACCACTTTCTTCTGAAGAAAAGGACGCATGAATAAAGCGACAAAACGCAATAACTAGTAGTTATTACATTTTATAATCAGTGGCAAGGGTCAACACACCTGCATCATAGGCTTCCCGCTTTTACTGCCTTGTTGCTCGATCTGCTTGACAATATTCATCCCTTCAACAACATGTCCAAAAACAACATGCTTGTTATCTAACCAATCCGTTTTTTCGGTGCATATAAAAAACTGTGAACCATTCGTATCGGGTCCACAGTTTGCCATCGAAACAATCCCAGCCATAGTGTGCTTTAACTAAAAGTTTCGAAAATTAAACCAAAAAAATCAAATCTATGAAAAACTTCACATTATGACTAAATCACACCAAAGAAATTAATCGAGAACCAAAGAAATTAATCGAGAACACTATGTCTTGTGTCAAATCAAAACTTGGAGTTCTGAACCTTGAAATTTTCATCCGCAAATTTAGAACCGTATATTGATTTTCCGCCTGTTCCATCTCCCTTTATGAAATCCCCGGCTTGTATCATGAAATGTGGAATTATCCTATGAAACTGTGATCCTAAAAAGATATATAATTCGATGCAAAAAAGATTATGAAATCGGAGAGTCAAACAATGCAACAAAAAATTACTGCCTATACCGATTAAGGCATCCAAAAGTGTAATGAACTACCAAAGAAAAGCTGGAAGTGCATAAGTGAAGCTAAGTACAAAAGTAAAAAAAAACCTTCGTAACCGAAGCCCCTTTCTCCTGTACAGAGTTGTCGAAAATTTTCCGCTGTTTTTGGAACTATATCAGACCGCAACTCGATCACTATTCTTCCTATATACCTATAGAAATCTACACAAATTTACAAGGCAATTGGAAGTTGGTTAAATATTCAGATATGATCTAGCCAATGAATGCTCCCCAAAGATGACGGGTAGAAGTAGTGAAGGAAAGGATGTAACTAATTGACATCGTTAGTTTGTTAAAAGTTAACTATACCAACTGTCAAATGACTGTTTCACTAAGCTAATCCATCGATTCCGTCGTCTGCAGTGACGAACTATCCAAAATTTTACAGTTTCTAGAACACGTATGCAGTTCTTCGTAAAACTCATCCGTTAATGTACGACTAATCAAAAAGACTTGATTTGTAACGGCAATATATCGGGAATATTTCAATGTTTAATAACAGTCAATGCAAAGTCTTATATATAACATTTATCATATTATACAAGTCTTTTGAAATCACCTGATTCCAATTTTGATCCCCAGGTATACTCGTGGAAGCGACAACCTAACTGGTCCTACTGTTGGCTCTTCAGAAACTGCATCGTTATCCTTATCATATTCTTTCGAGGTACCTTCTCCAGTGCCATACTAAAATTTAGTTCCATTATATAGGTGTTACAAACTTATAACTAGGCTTAAATATATTTTTGTTAATAAAAATAAGAACTATGGAAATTAGTCGAAAGAGAGCTGTTTATTCATGTAGCATGGAAACCCATTTCAGCATTCAATGAATATGGAAGACATTTTCTGCATTTTATCAATTTTCGAAGCATTTTCTCTCGAAAAGTTGCTAGAATGCTTGAAGAAATTGTAACATTAGACAAAACTTTCGAAACTTCGAATCCTTGGCTGTTCAACGTGTGATGAGCAATACTATGAACTGTACACTTTTTGAACTACATTTTGCGAGCGTTGTGCTGTCGAGCAAACATCTTGGATGCAACAGCATCAACAAGATTAGAATGTAATAATAATTAATGCAGTAAAAGACGCTTTTTCCTGCTGTAATTCGGTTTTGAGAATTATGTTAGGGCTTCGCTTTTGTTTAATCATTCAAATGATTGTCGTCGCTTTCCTATATAATAATCCGTTTCTCATCTATCACAGTAGATTAAAAATAGTCCGTAGTTGTTGCACGTAGTTGTTGAACAAAGGAAGACGATATTTCGAAAAAACAATTTTTTTGATCACTCTCAGCTTATGCGGCACCCATTTATCCAGCTTGTCTTTTTAATTTGCTTGGAATACCAGATTAGTGCAGAAAAACTGATATTCAGTTGTAAGCTTCGACAATTACTACTTCGTCACTGTTACTTTTACCACAACTACACTTGTTGGCAGTTCCTGCATCAAATCCGTTGATACTGCGAACTTTCTCCACTGTATGACGGTCCTTCTCAACTCAAATATTTATTTGAGTGCAGTTGAATCTAATTTTTGCTAAAATCATCTTTCTGAAACTTATAACAAAAAAACTTAGTTTTTGTCTAAAAACCATCTTCCTGAAATACATAACAAATAAACAACAAATAATAAATCAATAAAAAAATACACAAATAAGAAGTAACATTTGCGACGTAATATGACACAACAATAAAGTGCAACAGCAAGGAACCGGAATTACTTTTGAAGCAAACTAAGAATTTGCATTACTCTAAAAAAAAAATTTAACGTGATTAACAGAACTCGTTGAAATTTTTGGAAGAAATCAATTTTCAATTTTAGGCCTTAGATCCACAGAGATCTAAGAACGTTCAGCACTCATTCAAGAGTACAAGATTCCCTTGGTCCATATAACAGAGATACTAAAATATCCATAAGTGCTTTTTCACTAAAGTTTTCCACAAATGTAACATTAAAGCCTGCAGTCATTACGGCATAAATTTGCCACTACTATCATGTCTCACTTCTTAGGACCAACATATTTGGAACTTACAGTTTTAAGCCATTCATCATCCGCCCATACTGGCCTTTGGCTTCTTTCATTTGCCTTTGGCGGTCGCGCAAAATTGCATCGAATTGTTCGCCCAAATAATTCTGAATCATTCATATTGTCTATTGCTGCAGCAGCATCCTCCGCAAGTTCATATTCCACAAATCTAGGTGAGGTATTCTAAAGTTTCAGAAACAAAGTTCAAAGTTCAAAGTTTTAGTCAAAGTTTCAAAGTTAGCTAAAGTTCAGAAACACTTAACATGCTCAAGCTATTTGCATCATTCATTCGATCCCAGAGCAGATACTCAAGCAACGGATCAATTAGGGCTTGCTGATATCAAAAATAAATAGTTAAAGTAGACTGTAAAGGGTTTTTGGAAAGTGCCAATACTTCTGGTTGCTCTAGCTCTTCCCAAAGTGTTTCATGTTACAATCTGAACCATTTTGGAGAGCTTATATATAAATCTGTTCTTGCAGCAGCTTTCCCAGCTCTAAGCGGCCCCTGTGATTACAGAAAAGAAAACAGATCAAAAATAAAAACAAACCCAAATCCACGATGCTTGCCCGTCTCATAATCCAACGGGATTGATATACTAACAATTTCACCGAAGGGTACGAAGCCAGCTTGCAATACTTTCTCATTGACCTCCTCGCCAAAACCACCAACGTACAATGTTCGTTTCTTATTATGTGGAAAATTGGTCGTTAAGGACATCGCCAGTTTTCTAAATTAATGTTAAATTTAGGGGAACATCATAAAATTTTGCAAAGTGAACAAATAATGGCGCATAACAATTTGAAATTTTGTATGAGTAAGTATGCGCGTGATGGGAAGCATCAATTTCTACTTAGTAAAATATGATATAAAGTAAAATTATGCAGAAAATCCCATGTTTTCAAAGGTTGTAATATATTTTTCGGATACTGAGAAATTCATTTCTCATCCACAATAATGAAAAACTCAAAAACTGCTTAGGTTAGGACAGCGCTGGAAAAAAAAGCAGGACTAATAAAAGTAACTTAGACAAAACCACTCAAGTCATTTTGAAGTCTACAGGATGTGCAAATGCGTGCCGTGCAAATCCATTCTGTTTCCCTTGCTTTTCCGCCAATCTTAACGTGCGCGACTTCAAACAAAATGCAATTGTCGACAAATACAGAGACGCGTTGCAATTGGGTGATTACGGGTGATTTCACACAAACCAGTACATCAACCTCAAATTAATAATAACAAGCAACACACGACACGCACAACATCGAAACCATCAAGGGGACCGAAGGGCGTTGATTAGCGCGAAGTTTCAACTTAATGGCAAACATCGTTCGTTCGGCATGTCCGATATTTGCTTATTTAGGTTCCACTGGGTTTAAGGCATTGGGTGGTGGGCTTTGCTTTCAGGGTGTTTGTTAATTGTTTGCTTGGACCTATTAATTATTTGCAAGACTGCACAGTTATTGAAATTTTTGAGGAGAGTTTATCCATTATGGCTACACATTACGAAGGAATTTATTTTCGATTTTCTGTCGAGCTAGAAGCGGCATCCACTTGTTCAAATCAATGTTTTGTTGTTTCAAGTAATGAGGATTAAGGAACTTGTGTAATGAACTCTTCCGAATAACGAGGGATATTAGTATGGCAATTGAGAACTAAAATAATGAATCAGGAGTGAATGAAGAGCAAAAACCAAGAAAAAAGAGATGTTGACGTCACGTCTGTAACAAAATCTGTAACTCTGACAGAGCAAAATGAATTAAGGAAACCTGCGAATAAAGTTCGACAATGCTTTGTTCTGTATTCTTGTAATGATTACTGACTCTCGAGACACATTACTCCCATCTACTTCCAAATTTGGGTTTCTGTGCAGCTCTCCTTGTGCATTTCATGTTTTTCATAAGTTGCTTCAGTTTTTTTTTTATTTTTGTCTTCTCTGTGCCAGTTTCATGGGAATTCCCGGTCATTCAGTGTCATGTTCTAGTCATAAACGAGCACTGTACATGTCCACACTCGTCAAGAGAAGCTTCGATGTAAGTTGAATTATTTTACCTAAATGTATTGACTGACTGCAACTGATGACATGGTGACCCTGCAGGATGAATTATTCCAATTAAATTTTATTTCGCTTTGCGGAAATTTGCTTCTCGTTGTTATTTCATCAAGAGTGGCACTTACTTCCATATTTTCATATCCAGGAGATTTAGCTATGTCGTTCTATATTTGCTACTGATTCTGTGCTGAATATTTTACTGGAAATCCGTGGAACGGCATGCGGAGATAAACAGAATCTCTTATTAACGAATTTAGAGCCAGGCAGAGTTTTCGTACTGCTGCATGTCATCGGTTTACTCAAGTCTGGATTTGACGCAGATTTTATAAGTGATGTCACTCCTTTTATGCGAAGTTTAGATTTGCAACAGTGCCTACTCTTCATATTTACAGTTTGAAGTTGTGACTTTATGGACGTACATCATAGAACATAGAAACATCAGAACCTTCCCAGCACTTTTCGATACTTTATATCTTATTCAAAGAAACGGAACGAAATGAATAACTACTACACGGAGTCTCTGATTATAATTTTGCATTTTATTATGCAATATTCAAACTATTAAGTAATGTTATAATGGGTAAAGCACAAGAATATCATAGGTTTAAGCGCAATTCCAAAAATATCACCTGTATCTCTGTTTCATTAAAAAAAAAAAATTGTGTTTCGAAAGATTGGAACGGAGAATAAGGGACATAATCATATACAGCAAATATGTTTAAAAGGAAAAATGAGCATTAAAGCGAACATGTATGTGAATTACATGTATGTGATTAATAAACCAAATTAGGACACCGGGAGCATCCTGTTGCTGGTGAAGCAGTTCCTAAATGAAAACATCTGGTCACCACGCACACTGAACGCTGTCAATAGTGTTGTTTCTTTGATTCACCTCTACATCTAATAAGATTTGCATCATTCGATGAAACTTCAGAGTATCAATAAACATTGTTTCCCCAACTCCTTAGCGGGTTGAATGGAGTTGGATGGAAATTATCCTTCATAAAAAAAACTTCAGATAGTTCAAGTAACTTTAGAAAGCGCCACACTTAATGTCTCGCCAGTGGATCGCTCTGAATGATTACTACTCGACCTTCTGAGGAATTCCTGGAAACAGTTATTAGATTTCTAGTTTTCCAAATTCATCACTTGGAAGGAATTGTAACAAAGTCCGTATCTCCACACAAATAATTCCCTTAACAAATTTAGGAAAAATAAGCCAACCTAATCTGTGCAACTAAAAGACAAGATGTCCTAACAAAGCTATTTTCCATCTGAAACAAAATATATGCATAGATGATATTTGTAACAGAACGTGAAATAGATTGTAAACCAAATTATGCTACGATAATAAACAAAAGGTTGACATAAAGCTACACGGTGATGATATACTAGTTTGGTTACTCCTTAATAGGAGAGAGAAAATTTCCTCGTCTGGACTAAAAAACTAGCAATAATTTGTTTCACAAAATGTTTTCGTGTTGTTAAATAATCTTATTAGTTTCCAGTGACACATTCCTTGACAGCTACAAATTAAAGATCTTCTGCACCAGTTTTTGTAAACCATTCTTATAATGTTAAATCCCTACTTCTCCTCCTTTTCCAAAAAATCAGAAGTACGAGAGCAAAAGGACACCCTCTGCCAATTTCATTTCACTTGTTTCTCTTACTTTCCTCTCTTAACTTGTGTTTTCTTAATTTCTTTTAGAATTTGGATAAATAAGCTGATTCTCCATCAAATTTAACCAGCAACTGTAATTTTTAAGTTACTAAAAGATTACGATATAGAAAAATCAGATCAAACACAATGAGCAACTCCCGTAATACACGGCGCGCAACCACTGTCTTTTCCAAGAGCCATTGATGGTGGTCGTAACAGAGTGTCAACACGACAGTCTGCCCATGCGACGCCTGCACCCGCTCTAAAATGCAAAAATAAAGTTATGGCTGACTGCTGCTCCTTCTATTCTGATCTGATCTATGCCTTTCATGTGAAAATTTTTAATGTTATATGATGTTTTTCCTCGAAAAAACGAAAAATCTTTTCAGTGTTGATATTTATAGAATAAAAAAGCGAAATCTCAGAAAACAAAATACGATTAACCTGCACTGGCTAATAGTGGCCACCGAACACCACTGGTTAGTAACCGGATCGTATGCTTCCACGGAATTCAAATATCTCATTCCATCATGACCACCAATTGCATAAATTCGCCCACCCATAGATGCAACACCAACACCACCTTGAAAAAGCTCAAATGAACTTCAGACGGCAGTTCAAATCTGGTTTCCCGATGTGAAAAGTCAAAGTCATACCTCTAGGGCATGACATTTGTGATAACAATGTCCAAGTATTATCTTCTGGATTGTAACGTTCACATGACGGTAACGGCGCATTGTCATCGAAACCACCGATTGCGTATAAACACCCATCAAGTACTGTGACACCAGCACCAGCTCTAAAGCAAGATTTTCGATTCCAAAAAAAAAAAAAACATTCCTAAGAAGCTGTTTGAGAATTATTAGAGCAGTCAGCTATTGTGCAGCAAATGGGAAGGTGCAATTTCATGCTTGCAAAGGAATCCCAAAGACACCTGAAACTTTTTTTGCACCTAAAGGGAAGAACACGTGATATAAGGTCGTGAAAACACTGCTTGCTCGTTTTCATTTTTAAAATACGAAACTCAATAAAGAAAATTCTTTCTTACAAAAAATCGACCTTGTACAAGTTAAGTAAAAAAAAAGTAAGACAAATGAAATTCAAACTGCGTAATTGTCAACAGTTCCTGCATAACAATAAATTTCCATTCTTCATTTAAATTTTACAAATTTCTGCAAAAATCAGGTAGAAATGTTTCAAGTATATAAACCTTCTGTGTTGCATGCTTGCAACTAATTTCCATTTGTTCAGAAGTGGATCATATCGTTCACATGAATCGAGTGATGAAGTTCCATCATTACCACCTACCGCAAACAAATATTTGCCTGCAAAAAGGAAACGACTAAAAATCGGAATATTTACAAAAAAGAGAATTATAAGTTGCGTTTCAAGCAAACTTACCTACAGCGGCAACACCAACACCGCCACGTTGTACATTCATCTGCTCCACACCCGACCATTTATCTGACTCAATATCATATCTTTCTACAGTCTGCAAGAAAACACTTTATTTACTTTAACTAAAATTAATTACTATTAAACAAACTGGGTGGAAATGAAATCGGAAAAAAAAGCTTAAGTCGTCCAGTGTTAGAGTTTGGCATTTCTATAGGCGAAAATATATGACACGACTCAGTTATGAATTTATCAAGCAAAGTCTCTAAAGTCACATGTCATTATAAAAGAAGAGAGTTCAGAAACAAATTATACTGGAATGAAGAATGAAAGAGCTAAATAAAGATGAAAATATACCTGAAAACACGCAGTATCATCGAGTCCACCAACGGCATATATTGCACCTTCCAATGCTCCAACAGCTATGCCTCTACGACGGGTATCCATGGAAGCAACGGTATGCCACATATTGGTGGCAGGATCAAAACATTCAGCGGAACTTAAGTGATTTGTTCCATCGTGACCGCCAATTGCATAGCTGAAGAAAACAAGAAATAGGGGAAAGTTAAATTTATTGTACACAAACAATTTTGTCACAACTTTTATTAGAGAGAA